ACCTGGGGAAAAAACCCTCAGCCTTAGCTCCGTTGAACACTGCAATGGGAATACACTGAGTAGAAGAGTTATGCAGGAGTATTATAGTTTATCTGCTGCTTTTTAGATGTATGGTTTCATAGACATACAAAACACTCAGATAACTACTACTACTAATAAATAAAACCAATAAAATAATAATAATATTCACAGCCGCTAAGCTTAGTGGCTGCAAACTAACAGCCCCAACAGGCTGAAGTCCAGAGGGGAAAAGTACACACACACACACACACACACATAGAGACAACATAAACTCTGCTGATACCTAGTTAAAAAAGGAAGATAAATGAAAGGGGACAAGCCTGAAACACTTTACATGTGTCATTGCAATGTGCAAGGTATTTCAGTTCAAAAAAAAAAAAAAAAGGAATGTCATAGAGCAGAGAAAAAATTCCATTTTTAATGTGGTAAAAGTGTGGGTCAAATGTCTGATTGGACCAGGGACACCTTCATCTAAACCCACAGCTTTCAGCACCAACATGCAAAAAATAGAGCCTAGGAAAAAAAGTCAACACCCATCAGGAAATTATTTCAAGTGGAGAAGGCTGTTTAAATGCCTCTTGCAAAATGGGACACAAGAATCTGGACTGGCATCTCTTGGATAGTAAGTTCCCAGTGCTGGAGACACTCTAAGCCAAGAGCTGAAAAAAACACTGTAAAGAAGCTGTATTTGGGAACAAACTAGAGAAGACAAAGTAAGGAACTGGCATGTCAGTGAAAGTATCATTACACTGTATGGTTATGCGCTGCATATACGGATATAAGCATGTTGTCTGTAAGCATGTTTGATCTACCTTGTTGTTTTTTTCTCCATTTAATATAATAATTTAGACAAAACTAGTGAGTAACGCTTGCAAGCAGAGCAGATTAGCTCACAGCAGCAGAAAGGTTAGCTTAATTTTCCAGGTTTCCCAGTGATGGCTTGAGCAGGTGTTCTAGTAGGGTCCCCTTTCCACCTGGTCCTGGCCCGTGCTGCTGCCAGCCAAGCTCTGCCAGAAGGATTATGCAAGGGCAGACAAAGCCAAATGGCTGTGATGGGATTTCCCTGTCTCTGCTACCCATACACGTTTGTATTTTCCCACCTGGAACGTTAGATGTTGTTGGCATCTGTGGCTCAGCAGAAAAGCTGAATTAAAAAAGACAAGTTAGGGTTTTGCATTTCCCACTGATTCGTGGTGTGACTGGACTGTGTCACGTCGTTCCTGCAGGCTTCAACTTCCCGAGATGCAGCACATCTTACAAAGACCATGACGGAAGTCTACACAGGAGGACTCTCCATGTTGGTATTTCGTAAGGAAACACACTCGGGCCTCAACGAAGACCCTAGATAAAAAGCACCAAAAGTTAAAGCCTTCTCTGAGCTTCTCAGCTCAAGACCAACCTGCACTATGCAAAACAACCTCCAGTCTCTCCCACCCCTGCTCACGGCCATTCATGTGTGCTAGGGTAAACATTGCCTCAATATCACAATAACATCACATATGTACAACAATATGGAATGAAAAAAATAAATGAAAGGAAACGGAAAGGGAAGAACGTGAAGAAATGTGCTAAAAGCCTTGTGGTCGCACAAAAGCCTGGAAAAGGATTCCTGGCTTCAGCTTAGCCATTCATTCATTACACGGCTCAGCGAGTGACTTAACATCTTTATGCCTCTATTGACTTGTACCTGTAAAAGCAGCTGTAATAACCTTTGTTATGGTCTGCAAAGCTTAATCA